GCCCCGGGCTCCGAGACATAGGGATGTTATTTCCTCCGAGAAGGGCCTGAACTCGTAAACCTTGTGTGTACAACTCCTCCATAGCTAAGATCTTGCCTCTCCATTCCTACCCCCATATTCTACTGTCAGACTTGGAACCACGACAACTACTATTACGTTACTTTACATTATGAAGGTAGTAACTTAGACTAGTGTCATATGCTTGACACTAGTCTAAGTTACTCACCACTACGACCAGCCTAACATGCATATGTTACTAGTCTATATTACTACCTCTATAATGGGAATTAGGGTAGTCATAGTGGAGAGTAACTTAGACTAGTAACATACATATGTTACTAGTTTATGTTACCACCTTCATAGTGGGAAGTGTCATAGATGTAGTAACATACATATCTTCATTTATTGCTTTGTAGACTCATTTTGTATTGGAAACTGCTATGTGATGGTAACATATTATGTTACTCTATTTGTCTCTCTCCTCTTTAATTACATGACACATCATCTTTTTTGCTTATGTGGCATCTATGTTACTACTTATGTTACTCCCACTATGACTAGCCTTAATATATGTGTGGTGTCAAACAACATTTTATTTATTAGGTTATAGATTCATCTTGCTTTGGTATGTGTGATGTTATTCATACTCCCTCCCATCCATTATAGTTTGCGTATAACTTTAGACCCACATACCAAGGTGAGAATTTTGTGGGTGAATTTGGACTAGTATGCCCCTCTGTCTGCATGAAAAAGGCAGTGCTATATTTACTGTTGCAAACAGACTGGCCGCATGTAACCGTATTTTACTCCCACGCAGAGGCCGCATGCAAATCAATTGGCCGCACAGACGCCTCTCCCTCCCAAACGCATGCGAACAGTTGCATGCAAAGCAAATAATTAGGGGTAGAATAGGAAAGAATGGCCAGAAGATTCTACCGCGCAGACTAATACGGGGAGAACGAAAAAACCTTAGACGCAAAGTAAAGAGGACCGGAGGGAGTACTATGAGTAGCTAGCTATGTTACCACATATCTCTTTTTTCTTTATTAATTACTTGCCACATCATCTATTTTATTCAGATATGTATGATGTTATCACCTATGTTACTCCCTCTATGGGTAGTTTTTGCACAATACTTGTGCATTGGAAGAGGTCTTAGAGTATCTCTAGCAGACACCGCATCCGGCCGGCCCGCAAAACGCACTTGCAGTTCGCGGAAAACGGCCTTTGCAGGCTGGCTCGGACGGTCGCAGATGCAGACTCCCCCAAATGGAACCGTATAAAAGGATATTCATAGAATATACTTTTTTATGGGTCAGCTTTTTGCGGGGTCTGCTCGAGCACCGCCGCGTCGACCCGCAAACCGAAAACGCCCAATTCTCTAATTCGACATAGGTTCCCACAAATAAGTTCAAATTCAAACAACATAACACAGTTTACGCGCAAATAAAAGCTTTAGCTAAGTAGGACAAACGCAAAAGAGGGTCTTGCAAAAGTGACGACCACGTCCGGCATCATCTTGGTCGATCTTCACACCGCGCCATCGAGTCCATCTTGAAGTTCATCGCCACCACTGAATCCACCTCCGGCGTTTGTTTCAACTCCCGCACCGAAATCATCAACATTGCCACCATATGGGGCAGAGAAAACATCTCCGGCACTATAACACGCACTGGCCGACGCAACCATTCTCCTATTCAAGATTTCTCTCCTTGCCATATCATGCCATTCTTTGGTGAGGTCGTCCATGTCATTGCGGTTCATTGTCATTATCTTGTTCTCTTCGGCGAGCAACTTGGACATGGCTTTGTTTTCAACGGCACGTGCTCTTCTCTCCTCAGTGACCGCTTTGCGCAGCCCCTCTTCCTTGAGCAATTGCCACTTTTCTTGCTTCTCCTTTTCCTTCTTCTCGGCCAACTCTTTCTTGATCTCCAACGAGTTCAACAATATCAACTCATTTGATTGCACCATGGCATCAATCTTCTCCCTCAAGCTCGATGCTTCGTGATCTCTCTTCATCTTCTCCATAGTCTTCTTGTCGCCATTGGGCTTGTTCAAATTTCTAGGGCCATCTTCATCCATGTTTGTAAGTGAACCTCTCTTCAGTGGGGATTCTTTGTCGATCAACTTCCACTTCTCGCACTTTTTTAGCAAGTCCCAACAATGCTCTAGTTTGAAGAATTTGCCTTCTGAAGCTTTCATGTCTTTGTATCTATGTTGGGCAATTTTGTCCTACACAATTTGAACAAAGTGAAATGATGCAATCATTTCATATGATGCAATATGATGATGCACAACTTGAACAAAGGCAAAACAAACTCATATAGTCGGATTCCACGGTTCCACTTGGAGGTGCATTCGGTACTTGCTCCAAGCAAGCTGCCCAACGGCTGCACATAGGCTTGATCACCTCCCAACGCGCTTGAAGTGACCGAAATGTTCGTGGAGTCCTATTGGGGTACTTTGCCATCATGCGGAAGTATTGATCTTCGATCCTTTGCCAATACCTCTTGGCGGTTTGAGAAGTACCTGTGCATGCATCAAGAGACACCGCACTCCATGCATTGATCAGAACTTGATCTTCCAAGATCGTGTAGTTCTTCAATCTTTGGCTTTTCCCAGTTTTTGTTTGCGATTGCTCATACGCTACCTCGTCGATCTCCTTTAATTCTTCCTCACAACCATGATCATCCACGCCGCCCTCCGTTTCATTGTAGTCGAATGCGGCGAACGGGGCTTGATCGATGTCAACGGCGTTGGTGTCCAACAAGTTCACGAACTCAGCAGTTGCATTGTTCGAACCACCGCTATTGTGAACGACAACAAGTCACGAGCTATCGCAAAATGGCTAAAAGCAAAGAAAATTGCCATGACCGAAGACGCATACCTTCCGGCCATTTCGTCAAACACCTCGCTTGCGGGGGGAGCAACACTGTTGAGCGGCATCGCCGGGGAACCTCTTTCCGGGGCGGAGGGAGTGGATGAAGGAGGCGGCTTATTTGTAGCAGGAATCCTCTTCCTCTTGACGTCGGCAGCCTTGGCGACCTTCTCCGCCGCCGACCGGGATCGCGCAGCAGCGTTGGCGCCCGGAGCACGGGCCTTCGCGGCGGGGGCAGCCGGATTCCTGCCCTGCATGACCATGTTGCCCTGCTGCTTGTAGGCAGGCGCGGCGATACCTTGGGCGACGACGGGGCCAACATGGCCGGCGACGAGATCCGCTTGAGGGGATTGAGCGTGCGCGACCTCGACGGTGATGGGGGACAACAAGGAGTCAGCCATGGCGGCGAAGGACGGCCGGGGAAGATGCACCGGAGCGTGCAGTGGCGGGGGTGGGGGGAATGGGAACGGTCGCGCGGAAATGTTTCTCCCGCCAAATCTCGCTGCGGATAGGGGCTGAGCTCGGGTCGTCCTCCTAGCCCGTGAATCTAGAGGTCGGGGAAGATCTTTTGTCGCGCCCCGCAAAAAAAATTGGGTCGGCCACGAATGCGGTGTCTGATCGGACAGGTTTTCCCGCCCCGACCCGCATTTTGACGGTTATTTTGTGGATCGGGGCAGGATGCGAGGTTTGCTAGAGATGCTCCTAGTACACTATAACCAACCAGAACCACTGACAAACCAGAATATATGTCATCATATTGCTTCAATGCTTCATAACAAAACGTAACTTGCATAATTGCACCACACGCCACTTTTGTTTTCTTCTTCTATAGCTCAACTGTGCCTAATCTAACTAACAACTTTTTTTGCCATGTTTTCCACGAATGTCATCAAACTTTGCAACCAATCAAAACATTTGTCAATGTTTGGCGCAATAAAAATCAGTTTTTTATTTTACTGTGGTGTGTTGCGTTTCACATCCGTACATGGATGTTACTATTTCCATCCTTGTTTCACTAACCGGTGATTGCCCACATTGGTGTTTGCATCATCTTGCAAATTTGATAAGAAAAAAATAATACCTTTGATGGATTATTTGAATTCTATAATCCTTATTTTTTTATTAGTTGTTCTAAATAATTCTATGATGCTGTTTTCGACTTTTTCGTTTGCAGAGTTAGTAGTGTGTCCAACCTATGTTTTCTTTTTCTCTTGGTGGATGTGATAAAATTTGCGCATTCTTGATAATTCACCTTTGTGATCTCAAGGATGATATGGTTTGAATCATCTTTAATTTGCTTTACTTCTATTTTACGAATTTTCTCTTTCCAGATGACTCGATGCATATGTGGTCTGGTAGATAATAATTTGCTTTGTTTTTATGTCAGTTTGGTTGATGATGCAAAAGAGATGCTTCACTTGAGATATCTTCGCGGTATCTAATTAAGTCGGGATCGAGCTGTGATACTGGTACGTGTTCCGTCATATATATTCATCAAAGACAGCATGCATGTGGGCAGATCATCTTACTTGATGTCGATCGAGTTCGATCGTGCTGATAAATGCCAGCCATCCTTCGTTGTTGTGTTCATTCTCATATATTCTAACAATAATAATAATTATTAAAATGGTTCCTTTCAATAGTTTTAATAAATTCTCTTGGTCCAGAGCTGGCCAGCCACACACATGACACATCCCTCCCCATGAGGCCATGACTGAGGCTCGGCAAAAACAAAACACCCAAGGTCGACGACTAGTCGATCTCAACCCCATGCACCACGCCCATCACGCAGCAAGTAGCTTAGCCGCCGCTCCTTTTCTTATCCCCAACACTCCCGCGCCAAGCCGTGGCCACAAACGTCGGCCGGACCACCCACACGTCGGCGTCGGCCATGCCATGACCGTGTCACTCCACTCCTCGCGTCGCCATTGGCCCAGGTCACCAGAGAAAGAGCACTGGCAAAGGCCAGCTATATCCGCTCCGGATCGGGGCCCTGGAAACCTGTGGAGCAGAAGCTCCGGCCATGGCCATCCCATCCTCCTACTTAGCCGCCATCTCCCCCGCATCCTGTCACTACCAGTGATCTCATCGGATCGCGCAAAAAGCTTCGAAAAGCAAAAGCATGGCCCTCCCGTCGCCCGCCGGCATCGCCAAGCCCAGGCTCCACCTGCTCCTCAACCACAGGCGCGCCAGCTCGTCGTCCGTCACCTGTGAGTGGCCGCTGAGCTCTCCCCGCCCGGACCGTGCGCCGAGTTCTTGGACTCTTGCTCACTTTTGGTTTCTTCGCTTGCTTCCAGGCTGCAGCAGCAACGGGCGGTCGTCGTCTGAGCCCGAGGACTGGGCGGCGCCGTCAGGGGACGCCGTCGACTGGCGCTCGTTCCGGGCGCAGCTCGTCCTCAAGGAGCAGTACGCGAAGAGCGTCAACCCGGCGCTCAGGGCGTCGTGGGCGCCGGCGGCGAAGATCGCGGACAAGTGGGCGCACCCGCTGGTGGAGCCGGAGAAGGGGTGCCTCCTGATCGCGACGGGGAAGCTGGACGGGTCGCACATCTTCGAGCGCACCGTGATCCTCCTGCTGTCGGCCGGGGTTCTCGGCCCCGTCGGCGTGATCCTGAACCGGCCCTCGCTCATGTCCATCAAGGAGGCGCAGTCCCTCTTCGCCGAGGAGGCGGACATCGCCGGCACCTTCTCCGGCCGCCCGCTCTTCTTCGGCGGGCCGCTGGAGGAATGCTTCTTCCTGCTGGGGCCGCGGGAGGGCGCCAGCGCCGCCGACGACGTGGTGGGCCGGACGGGGCTGTTCGAGGAGGTGATGCCGGGCGTGCACTACGGCACGCGGGAGAGCGTGGGGTGCGCCGCGGAGCTGGTCAAGCGCGGGGTCGCCGGCGTGCGGGACTTCCGCTTCTTCGACGGGTTCTGCGGGTGGGAGAGGGAGCAGCTGCGTGACGAGGTCCGCGCAGGGCTGTGGCGTGTGGCCGCCTGCAGCCCCGCCGTTCTCGGGCTCACCGGCATCGGGGGCGGGCTGTGGGAGGAGGTGCAGCAGCTCGTCGGAAAGAGGAGGGTGTGGTAACTAATTGATCGTACAAGGCTTACAAGGCTACATATACTAGTACTTGCTAGGTAGAAATTGTACATTATACTTGTTGTGAAAAATGCTTCACAAGATAATTAATTTCCCTATAATTTTATACTTACGTTACATGTTCATACAGAGATTAAAGACCAATCTTTCTATTTTGGGACGGACAGAGTATTTGACGTGCATATAGGCTTGTCTCCGGTCAATTCCTTTCTATAGATTTTGACTAAAACATTTCTTTTGCGATTAATTATTGAGAAAATTGTCCCTCTAAATTTTGACAAAAATTACGGGGAAAATGCATCAACATCTACAGTACCATAACAATATCGTTAGATCCACATAAAATATATTTTATTTTTTAAATAAAATTTGACGTAAGACGAAGCTAATATGCAATGTGTTTTAAAAATGGAGAGAATATCAACAGAGTAAAAACACCTTATATTTTGCATAACTTTTTGAGGCGAATTATGGCATGCACTGTCGACCATTACCCTTTAGAGGTAGAAAGTGTCACTTAACATGGAGACAAACTATAAGGAATAAAGAGGGAGACAAACCACTACACAGCCTTCTTCTTGTAGACGTTGTTGGGCCTCCAAGTGCTTAGGTTTGTAGGACAGTAGCAAATTTCCCTCAAGTGGATGACCTAAGGTTTATCAATCCGTAGGAGGCGTAGGATGAAGATGGTCTCTCTCAAGCAACCCTGCAACCAAATAACAAAGAGTCTCTTGTGTCCCCAACACACCCAATACAATGGTAAATTGTATAGGTGCACTAGTTCGGCGAAGAGATGGTGAAACAAGTGGTATATGGATAGTAGATAAAGGTATTTGTAATCTGAAATTATAAAAACAGCAAGGTAACTAATGATAAAAGTGAGCGTAAACGGTATTGCAATGCATTGAAATAAGGCCTAGGGTTCATACTTTCGCTAGTGTAAGTTCCCTCAACAATACTAACATAATTGGATCACATAACTATCCCTTAACATGCAACAAAGAGTCACTCCAAAGTCACTAATAGCGGAGAACGAACGAAGAGATTATGGTAGGGTACGAAAACACCTCAAAATTATTCTTTCCAATCAATCTGTTGGGCTATTTCTATAAGTGTCACAAACAGCCCTAGAGTTCATACTAGAATTACACCTTAAGACACAAATCAACCAAAACCCTAATGTCACCTAGATACTCTAATGTCACCTCAAGTATCCGTGGGTATGATTATAGGATATGCATCACACAATTTCAGATTCATCTATTCAACCAACACATAGAATCTCAAAGAGTTTCCCAAAGTTCCTACCGGAGAATCACGACGAAAACGTGTGCCAACCCCTATGCATAGGTTCATTTGCGTAACCCGCAAGTTGATCACCAAAACATACATCAAGTGAATCACGTGGTATCCCATTGTCACCACAGATACGCACGGCAAGACATACATCAAGTGCTCTCAAATCTTTAAAGACTCAACCCAATAAGATAACTTCAAAGGGGAAACTCAATTCATTACAAGAGAGTAGAGGGGGGAGAAAACATTATAGGATCCAACTATAATAGCAAAGATCGCGATACATCAAGATCGTACCACCTCAAGAACACGAGAGAGAGATCAAACACATAGCTACTGGTACATACCCTCAGCCTCGAGGGAGAACTACTCCCTCCTCGTCATGGAGAGCACCGGGATGATGAAGATGGCCACCGAAGAAAGATTGCCCCCTCCGACAGGGTGCCGGAACGGGTCTAGATTGGTTTTCCGTGGCTACGGAGGCTTCTGGCGGCGAAACTCCCGATCTATTATATGTTCTGGAAGTTTTAGGGTACGTGAGTATATATGGGTGCAGGAAGTACGTCGGTAGAGCTTCGGGGGCACCACGAGGCAGGGGGCGCGCCCTAGGGGGGGCGCCCCTACCCTCATGAGCACCTCCCTTGGCTCCTGACGTGGGGTCCAAATCCATCTGGTAGATTTCCTTCCAAAAATAACTTCTCCAGTTGATTTCGTTCCGTTTCGACTCCGTTTATTATTCCTTTTCTTCGAAACATTGAAATAGGCAAAAAAACAGCAATTCTGGGTTCGGCCTCTGGTTAATAGGTTAGTCCCAAAAATAATATAAAAGTGGATAATAAAGCCCAATATTGCTCAAAACAGTAGATAACATAGCATGGAGCAATCAAAAATTATAGATACGTTGGAGACGTATCAAGCATCCCCAAGCTTAATTCCTGCTCGTCCTCGAGTAGGTAAATGATAAAAACAGAATTTTTGATGCGGAGTGCTACTTGGCATAATTTTAATGTAATTCTTCTTAATTATGGTATGAATATTCAGATCTAAAAGATTCAAGACAAAAGTTCATATTGACATAAAAATGATAATACTTCAAGCATACTAACTAAGCAATTATGTCTTCTCAAAATAACATGGCCAAAGAAAGTTCATCCCTACAAAATCATATAGTTTAGTCATGTTTCATTTTCGTCACACAAGAATGCTCTCATCATGCACAACCCCGATAACAAGCCAAGCAATTGTTTCATACTTTAGTAATCTCAAACCTATAAACTTTCATGCAATACATGAACGTGAGCCATGGATATAGCACTACGGATGAAATAGAATATAATGAGGGGGTTATGTGGAGAAGATAAAAAGGAGAAAGTCTCACATCAACGAGGCTAATCAATGGGCTATGGAGATGCCTATCAATTGATGTTAATGCAAGGAGTAGGGATTGCCATGCAACGGATGCACTAGAGCTATAAATGTATGAAAGCTCAACAAAATAAACTAAGTGGGTGTGCATCCAACTTGCTTGCTCACGAAGACCTAGGGCACTTGAGGAGGCCCATTGTTGGAATATACAAGCCAAGTTCTATAATGAAAGATTCCCACTAGTATATGAAAGTGACAACATAAGAGACTCTCTATCATGAAGATCTTGGTGCTACTTTGAAGCACAAGTGTGGCAAAGGATAGTAGCATTGTCCCTTCTCTCTTTTTCTCTTATTTTTTTTATTTGGCCTTCCTTTTTTATGGCCTTTCTATTTTCTTTTCTTTTTTTGGGCCTTCTCTTTTTTTTGGCCTTTCTCTTTTTTTTTATATTCCTCACTTGGGACAATGCTCTAATAATGATGATCATCACACTTCTATTTATTTACAACTCAATGATTACAACTCGATACTAAAACAAAGTATGACTCTATATGAATGCCTCCGGTGGTGTACCGGGATATGCAATGAATCAAGAGTGACATGTATGAAAGAATTATGAATGGTGGCTTTGCCACAAATACTATGTCAACTACATGATCATGCTAAGCAATATGACAATGATGAATGTGTCATGATGAACGGAATGATGGAAAGTTGCATGGGAATATATCTCGGAATGACTATGGAAATGCCATAATAGGTAGGTATGGTGGCTGTTGTGAGGAAGATATAAGGAGGTTTATGTGTGATAGAGCGTATCGTATCACGGGGTTTGGATGCACCGGCGAAGTTTGCACCAACTCTCAATGTGAGAAAGGGCAATGCACGGTACCGAAGAGGCTAGCAATGATGGAAGGGTGAGAGTGCGTATAATCCATGGACTCAACATTAGTCATAAAGAACTCACATACTTATTGCAAAAATCTACAAGTCACCAAAAACCTCGGCACTACGCGCATGCTCCTAGGGGGATAGATTGGTAGGAAAAGACCATCGCTCGTCCTCGACCGCCACTCATAAGGAAGACAATCAAATAACACCTCATGTTTCAATTGTTACATCACGTTTACCATACGTGCATGCTACGGGACTTGTAAACTTCAACACAAGAATTTCTCAATTTCACAACTACCCAACTAGCACGACTTTGATATTATTACCTCCATATCTCAAAACAATCATCAAGCATTAAACTTCTCTTAGTATTCAACACATTCATAAGAAAGTTTTTACTAATCTTGTATACCTAGCATATTAGAATTTTAAGAAAATTACCATGCTATTTAAGACTCTCAAAATAATCTAAGTGAAGCATGAGAGTTCATCTATTTCTTCAAAATAAAACTACCACCATGCTCTAAAAGATATAAGTGAAGCACTAGAGCATCGACAAACTACTCCGAAAGATATAAGTGAAGATCAATGAGTAGTTGAATAATTATGCAACTATGTGAAGACTCCTAACATTTAATAATTTCAGATCTTGGTATTTTATTCAAACAGCAAGCAAAGCAAAATAAAATGACATTCTAAAAATGGCAAACATCATGTGAATAAGCAAAAACTTAGGATCAACCGATACTAACCGATAGTTGTTGAAGAAGAAAGGTGGCATGCCAACCGGGGCATCCCCAAGTTTAGACGCTTGAGTCTTCTTGAAATATTATCTTGGGATGCCTTGGGCATCCCCAAGCTTGAGCTTTTGTGTCTCCTTAATTCCTCTCATATCACGGTCTCCCTAAATCTCAAAAGCTTCATCCACACAAAACTCAATAAGGACTCGTGAGATAAGTTAGTATAAACCATTGCCAAAACCTTATCATACTCTACTGTAGCAAATCACTAAAATTATTATTCAACATTTCATACTAAATGTCTCTACATATTTAATAGTCCTATCCTCAAATAGAATCATTAAAGAAGCAAACATATGTAAACAATGCAAACATAACAGCAATCTGCCTAAACAGGATAGTCTGTAAAGAATGCTGCAACATCCACACTTCCCTAGCTCCAAAAAATATGAAAGAAAATTCCCACTGTAGTAAATTTATCAGATCTTAATATGCAAAAGGTTTCAACATTTTATCACATTCTGAATTTTCTAGGGAATTATTGCAACAGCGGTAAAATATCTGTTTTCAAACAGCAACATGTGGACTTGTAACATAGGCATAGTAAAGGCTATCAATGCCACTTTTATTGAAATGAAAGATGCAAAACATTGTTCTAAATAATAGCATGCAAATCCTAACAAAATAAATTGA